TCTTTTTGGAGGAACCAGAGGTGACCTGGCTGGGCCCCTTCTCCCTGCTGCCAGGAGGAAGGTGGTGAGAAGGGTGGGCAGTGGAACCATTGGTCATGGGGGAGGCTGGGAGCCGAGGGGCTGAGTTGAGGACAAAACTGAAGGCAAACTTTTCAGGATTTGGCAGTTTGAGAGCAGATGAGGACAGTCTGTAGGACAGGAAAAGAGGCTGACATGATCTGAAAGCCAAGTCAGGAGCAGGAGCTCCTCTCTTCCTCCCCAGCCCAAGGTGCACAAGCACAGAACCCAACTGGTACCATCTCAGCCATAAGATCTGAATCAGACCCTGCTCTCAGAGCAGCAGCTGCAAGCGCACAGTGACTCTGCAGCTGCCCCGTGCCAGCCACGCACAGGGCACACGCTGTCCCACAGGGAATTAGGACACAGTGAGTGTTGCTGCAGCACCTGCTGATGGTGAAGGTTACAAGAGAGACCCGGAGCAAGATCTCGACCAGGCTGGTGCCTCCTGATCCCACAGGACACTAGTACATGGTCAGAGCCTGCAAAGCTCCCTCCCACCCTGTGCCGGCAGTCAGAGAAACTGCTCTGCTTCTAGGATCCAGCGCAAGCCCTGCCAGCCCAGGAGAACAAGAGAGCCGGCTGCCAAAATCGCCGCCCAAGCCAGCTGCGATGCCAGACAGTTGCCTCGTGGAGTACCCAAAGGCTGCTACTGGCCTTGCTCCCATGCAGGAGCCTGGGAGCGACTGGCACTGCTTACCTCGACTTGCCGAAAGGCAAGGGAGTGGAGTCAGGGGGAGTGGTGTTCGTGGGGCAGGTGTGGTCAGCAGACTGTGGGCGAGGTTGTGCATGCTGGTCACTTCTGCTCACCTTCTGCGTGGTGCTGCCCTGCAGTTATTGACATAAATAAAAACTCGGTGGTCTAAAGAAAAGAGTTTCCGTGAGCCAAGAGGAGAAAATAAAAAGAGGAGCCCAGAGAAAGGGGAGAGGAACGGACACAGATGGGGGGAGGAAAATGGGGGGTGATAGAAGAAGAATCAGAAGTGTTTTCAGTTAGAAGCACAAAGTAAAAAAGAAAGGAAGGAAATTTAAAGAACAGAAAGCCCAGCAAACTGTCCTGAGTCCTGGCTGCACAGCGGCGCCCAAAGGGCCAGTCCACGCTGCTGCCCAAGGAGGAGGCAACTCCAAAGCCCTCCTGCTGCGGTGTCACCTGCTTCCACTTGCCCCAGGGGACACGCTACCCTGAGACAGCTGGCAAAGCCACCCCACTGCAGGGACTGGCACGGCCCCCCCTCCATCCTGAGCAAGAAGGCAAGAGCCACTTCTCCTGCATCACTCAGGGTGCAGGGCCAGGGCCCCTGCTGTTGTTCACATCCCCGACACAGAGGGAGGACAGAGTAACTGCTGCAGCCCTGGGGCTGAGGGGCTCTCGCCACCCACCCCCAGCTTAGCAAGATACCCAGCATTAGCTCTATACTTGCCCCCAGCACAAAGCCCCAGTACGGAAGGCACAAGGTGCCTAGTGAAGACTTCGAGCAGAAGCTCAGACTCACCTTTTTGGCAGAGAGTGCCGGCTTCTTGGCTGGTGGTGGTGACACAGTGCTGCTCGGCGCCAGAGCAGCGTTGGCCAACAGGGAGGATTTCAATTTCGCCGGCTTAGAGTTTTTGGGGGCAGATGGCTTGGCGCTGGGGCCAGCAGCAAGGTCTGTGCCACAGTCTGTTTCCTGAGAGGTGCAGAAGCTGCTGGTTCTGCTCTTGGCCTTCTGGGATGCTTTGGCCAGCTTCCCCACTGTGCCATGTGCTGGGCCGGCAGCATTGCTGCTGCAGAAGTCCTTCTCCAGGGTCGCAGCATTCAGCTGGCTGGGGCTGGGCTCCAGCAGCAGCTCGGATGAGGTAGGTGGCTGCTTGCTCTCCTGGGAGCCCTGCTGGGTCAGCTCCGCTTTGTCCCTGGTTGCATTGCTGGTGTTGCAGAAGTCCTGAATTGCTCTGGGTGCAGAAGGCAGCTGTGGCAAGGAGCGTGGCTTCTTGGGCCTCTGGGCTGCATCATCAGGCAGCGCTGTGGCCGTATGGGTGGCTTTGAGAGGCGGTTTGGGTGATGGGAACCCAGCAGGCAGCTTCCACGGACCAGTTCCGTTTGGCACCTTCAGCCTCGTCCCAGAAGCGCTGCGGGCCACAGGGACTCCAACATCCTCTGGCCCTGGCCGTTTCTTCCCTGGCAGCACATCTGGTCTCTAGACAAAGAGAAAGAGAGAAGTTCAGCAAGAGGAGAATTCAAAGAGCCAAGGTCAAAGAGCGATACTGACCTCCCTGTCCCTCCCCAGGCACACACAGGAACCCTTGGCCCAGCAGGATTCCTCCTGCAAACCGTCCTCCCTCACACCTGCCCATCTGGAGCCGTGCGCCTGCCTCCCTGCGAAGCTGCAGCCCACCTGCCCTTAACAGAGCAAACAGAGGGGCAGCAGCTCCCAGCTCCCGAGAGCACTGGCCGAGAGCAGCCTTCAGGACTCACCTGGCCCATCAGCGGTGAAGACAGGGGCCCGTTGTTCACAGTTTTCTTGACCTGATCAAAGGTGTTGCCAGCGTGGCCAGCAGCTTTGTCAATGGGCTCCTCCAAGCTCTTCTTCGGGTTGGGGAGTCTGGTGAAGGCAGAGAAGCGTACTTGTTAACTGCAAGGGTTTGAGTAACTGGAACACTCTCATTGCACACAAGAAACAGGAGCAAGAATGTCCAAGGTGAGGTGCTCTTGATCTACAGCGAAATCATGACAAGGGCTGGACCTCTCCCCGCCACCCTCCTCCAAGCCAGTGCACGCACACAGGCATTGGGGCTACTTGGGCCAAGCTCCTTCCCACACGCAGGCACATGCTACCAGCCCTGTCCCAAATGCTGAAAGCATGGGGCAGAGAGGCCAGGAGACACAGGGCACTCTCACCTCACGTAGAACAGCACGTAAGCCTGCTGGTTGAGGACCACTTTGATGTTGCTGGAGCGGACCAGGTCATCGTTCATTTGATACCACTGGCCATTGCTGGCCTGCGGAAGAAGAGAGAATGGGGTCAGGCTGTGTCTGGGGACTCTCCAGGCCTGAAGAGCAGTAGGAACAGCACCCATCAGCACAGCTCCTCTCCCCAAAACCCACAGGCAGCCCAGGGCAGGCAAGGGAACTCTGTGAAAGCAGACCTCCACACTTCCTGTGGTGGAGCACATCTTGTACCCCCCATCCAGAGCTCCACACCATGCACATCTGCTGAGTGGGCTCCTTTCTGCGCACTACAGGGACCCACGCACACCCAGCCCAGAAGAGGTGCCAAGAGAGCGCCCTGGGCTCACCTTCACATAGCAGTAGTAGTGCCCTGCACGGCAGCTGTACCCAGAGTGCACCAGTACTGCATAGAGTCCATAAATGACAGGATCCCCGTGTTTCTGAGACATGTAAGGGCGGATGTCCAAGAACTCGGGGTACCCCACGTCCTGCGGAGAGAGGATGTGTCAGGAGCCTGCGCAGCAGACAGCTTTCTTGCTAGAGCAAGGGAAGATCACGTGCCCTACGAGTCCCATCTCTTGAGGGAGGGGGACCCGCTCTCCCCGAGCCACAATCATGGTGAGGAAGATGCCAGGATGAGCCAAACTCCAACCACACTGCACAGCTGGGGAAGGGCTGCAGGACTGAGGCAAAGTTTGCGCTGTACACAGGACCACCTCCCACCCTGCTCTGGACAGCAGGGCCTCAGGCCAGGAGACAGCCCCAGCTCTGGATTGCCAAGCACTCACCTTTTTGATTTTTCCTCCAAAGTCAGCAAACCGTTTCAGTGAGATTGTGAGAACATTGGAGGCTCGGTGGATGGTGAAGCATTTACTGGCCGACACTTTCTTCTTACATCTGCACAGGAAAAACTTGAGCTATTCAAGCTGTTCCACCACCAAGATGATTGCCAGCCCTGGCCAAGCAGCAAACCCCACAGAAATGACTCTGCTGACACCACCAGGCACCACTCCAGGGCACCTGCTCACAGCCATGTCTGCTGGCCCAGGTCCTCCTCATGAGAGGAGGGAGCTGAGGAGGCCTTCATCGCAGGCTTCCACAGCTTCCACAGTTTAGCCATGGAGCAGGTAGAGAAGCCCTCCCGCATTGCAGTAGGCTTTCCACCTGCTTCCCCCCAGCACACCCGCAGGCCCCTTCCCGCCTCCAGCCCCACACACTCACTGGGCACACATGTAGGCGTTCTCTCCGCCCAGCATATCTGGCTTCACAAACAGCTCCAGTGCCTGCACTATGTTTGTGGCTTGCTGCAAGGACAGAGGAGAGGTCAGGGCATGAGTGGCCTGTCCAAGCAGCAGCCCGGCTCCCCGCTGATATGCTGACCCCCGAGAGATAACCCAGAGCCACAGACTACATCAAACCTATGAGCCTGCCACCAGTTAGGCACTGGCCAGCGTTCCGTGAGGAATGGCTGGGCTGCCCCCCAACACGACGAAGCGTCAACAGGGGAGTCATGGCTCATGCTCAGGCAACAGGCACTGCTCTGCCAGGCAGAGAAGGCAGTGCAACAACAGAAGCTGCTTCCCTCTTGCCTGCACTGTGCTTTGACACTGGCTGGCTAAGGAGCCTTGAGAGCAGTAACCATGTGGTTGCAGGAACAACCCCCATGACAGCAGAGCTCCCCCCCATCATCGACCCTGCCACAGTACCTCGATCTCCAGTGACAGGTCCAGGTAAGGGTCATAGGTGTCCGAGAAGCTCTCGCACACCAAGCACTTCACTACAAAAGAAAGAGCAATAAGCACACCCTGGCACAAAACTTGCACCCAGCACCACCCCAGCACAGCACAGGCAGCTGCAGCATTCCCCCTCTCCAGGCCTGGGCTCTGGGATGTGAGCACCAGAATTCACAGCCTGGCAAGGAGGAAGGCTGGCAATTCCACTATGTGCTGGGACAGCAAGTGTTGCTAGACAGCTGGCAACAGCTTCTTCCATCGCCACAGCAGGGGTCACGACCCACAGGTTCTGCAAGACTGACCAACTGCAGCTCTCAGTAATGCACATATGCTTAGCAATTTTTCCAAAAGATTTTTACTGCAAGGCTCTCAAGGAAACAGCAGCCCTGAAAGTCACAGGTCCAGGACCTGGCAGCCAGCACTCACCACGGGACCGCAGGTAACCGCCAAAGATCTGGTGAACCAGTGTCGTGGCCTGGGTCTGGCGATCCAACCTAGAGACAGCAGCGCCAGATCTCACATCGCCCCTCCACAATGGCCACCCCCACGGACCACTGTGTCCGCAGGACAGCTCCCCTGCGCGCTCTGGCCAGCAGACGGGCTGCAGAGCTCCAGGAGTGGAGGGCAGCTGCAGCCCCTGCCAGTCTGTTCCCCCAGTGCCAGAGCTCAAGGGGTGGCACCAGGCTCCAATGCGCACCTTCCTCTAGAAGGAGCAGAAACGCCTGGCCGGAGCTTAGAGCTGGGCACTGCAGACAGAGGCAACGCAGGCTTCCCGGGACAGGGGGCCCAGGGGAAAACTGCTCGCCCACAGCCACAGAGCTGGGGCCGAATTAGCAAGCCCACCTGGATTCCTTGGCAATTGGGACAGGATATAAACCCATGGCAGGGTTTGGGAATGGGACCACAGCTATGTTGGGGCAGAGGAGTCAGGAGAAGGGAGCAGGCAGAGAACAGCCCAGAGCTGTGACACAGCGGGGCAGAGCGTTGGGCCATCCACCCGAGGACCCTGGAGTCAGTACCTCCCTCTATGAGTCCAACCTGGGGGACACAGTCACCCCACAATCCTGTCCTGCGGGCGCAGGGGACCAGAGAGGGGACAGCAGAGAAGAGCAGTGACAGGCCATCAAAGGCCCCACATACTTGGTACAGTCAATCAGACAGGCCTTCTGCATGGCATCGATGGTGTAACGCAGGAACTCGTGTGCATCCTCCTGTCTGCCAAAGCGGATGTGCCCGGCAATGCCTGCAGGAGAGGGAGGAATCAGTCCGAGCATGTGCTGCAACGAGATGCAGGCCCTCCCTCCCTCTCTTTTGGGGCAGGGACTCCACGGTTTGAGCCCCATCAACTCAAACCAGACGTCAGATGCATGCCGGCCATGGAGGAAGCCCCACCACAGCCCATGAAGTCACCAGCCCCTGGCAGGCTCAGTGAGTCATCTCAGAAGAGCTGTCTGCCAAGAGCTGCCCCGATCTCAAAGGTTTCTGCTCCTGCATTAGTCACTGCTCTCCTGCATGGCTATGGGAAGGGAGGGCAGCCATCCTTACTCTTGAGGTTTCGTATGAAGTACACTGGCTTTATTGCGTTGCCGCTGTTGGCAAAAGCCTCGATCACGTGCTTCTGCATAATGCACATCATGCAAAAGCCTCCTTGGTGACCTGGAGCAGGAGAGGAGAAGACAGGATGTTGGGGACAAACCCAGGAGAGACAGAGGCAGTACAGGGAACGGGGGATCTCTGGTCCAACACCGCTCAGCCGTGCTCCGTTTTACCTACAAGCTCTGTGCTAGAGCACAGCTTTGGGGCATCCCAGGTACACAGGGACTAGCACAAGCCCCCCTGGCTGGCACAGCCCAAGTCACGGTACCAGCCACTGCAACCCTCCCTGCAACGAGACAGCATCCTATGTGGATGGTCACAGGTACTCGCTGGAGGAGCCCACAGGTCGGTCCTGAGGGGCAGATCCCACCAGAGCTCTACGGATGCAACTGCAAGCCCCATGTGCTCCCCTTGGTCACAGCTCAGAGCAGGACCCACCGGACTCCATTTCAAAATCACCAATAAACAGCACCTGCTGCCTGTACACAGCCTTCTGCCCTGCCCTCACACTGTCCCCACAGGCAGGGACTGTTTGGGACCCCCAGCTCAGCCACCAGGAAGCCAGCAGACCCTGTTGGACCTGTCTTTGTCCTGGCTACACCCAGCAAAGACAAAGCCTCCTCAGACACAAGGATGCAGAGTTCGGGAATGCTGCTACGGCCAGGAAAAGCAAGCTATATGCAGGAATGGTCTCTCAATGGAGAAACAGGCAGAAGGGAGCAGAGAAGGCACACCTTGACACCTGCGCACCCCTTGCCAGAGCAACATGCAGAGGTGCTGAGCGCAGCACTGGGAGCAGGACAAGTGGGCACTCCTACTCCCCACCGGTGAAGCCAACCCAGCCCTGCTGCCCACCCAGCCAGGCCTCGCCACTCACAGGTGCGGCTGTGCTCCTTGGAGAGCAGGTAGTTGGCAAGTGGCGGTGTGTAGGTCAGGCACTGCACCGTGGCGTTGAGGAAGCAGGTGTTCCCTAGATTGTGCAGCCCGGCGCCGATCCGGTGGATCTGCTCCCACTTCATGGAGAGGCGCTCCACAGGGAACAGCACCTTCTGGGGCACAGGGACCCCATCCCCCAGGTCCCCCAGGGCATGGTCACTGCCTGCGGGGAGAAGGGCAGTGAGCCACGGGAGCACGGAGCGTGGGGAGGGCCCCCCTCGCCCTCTCTGCCTTACCCTGCTTGCCGGGCTGCCCCTCCTCGGTGTCACGGTG